TGAGGTACCACTGTATAAAGAAACAGATCCTTGACCCATAAATTGTACATAAACATCTATACTTATACAGTCTTCACCATTTATAACAGTCCCATACTTTAAACCTTCTATACATAATAGAGACAACATTAATACCATACAAAATGCTCTGGCTCCCACAGCAAACATTATCTATTTATTAAACCTGCACAGGCGGAAATGGGCACTTTTGACTGGAGTTCCCTGGGACCCCAAAACATTTGTGTTTTTAAAAAGCACTAATCAAAGCAGAAATAGAAAACAATGATTTGACATCATTAGGAACAAATTTATTGACAGTCATGAAATATAATTATTATTATTTTTTTAAATCACCTGTGAGATACCCCTGCTGGTAGGATGAGGGTTAACATCCCTACTTAAAATACAATGCCCTCTCTTCTATTACTGGCATATTTTCATCAAGACTTTTTGAAAGCATTGAAATTATTTTTTTTTTGATGAAAATGAATAATCTGTACGTCTGTTTAAAACTACACATAGATTATATCTAAAACCTTGATCCTCCAGGGATCCCAAACACAATCTTCTTCCAAACCACTAGGAACCATTCCGCTGTTGGGTGGCACCCAGGCTGTGTCATATCCATGGTCATGCCAGGTTTTTTGGAGGGGGTGTCCCTGGTAGTCGATCTTCTTTACTTTTCCTACTCTAACCCTCAGCTTGAGTACAACTCTTCGCTCACCTATGGGTAGATTTATTGGGTATCTTTGGGCCTTCTCAAAGCTCCGACTGACATAGACTCCAGGTCCAAGCATGCCATCACTGGACCGCTGAAATCCATGCTTCTTAATATTTAATGCAGCTGTTTCTGTGGTACCATGGTACATGATGTACGTCCTCCTCCCTCTCCATGTGTTGTCACGCTCCAAGGTGGAATCAAAAACTGTGCAGAAGTCATCTGCAAATCCATCCATGCATGCCATACTTTACTCTGAAAACCAGTAAATTTGCTTTAATAAATAGCTGTTTTTTGTACAAGCAAGAACAATTTAGTATCAATATAATTACTGAACAGAAAACTAAATTTGACAATAGTCCATGTTAATTCAGATATTAAGTTTAATTTTAATGATGTTTTATTATAAAAATAAATGTTAACATTTTATGTTATATTCTAAACCAAATGAAAGAGAATAAGACCATAGAGGAGCACACTTACCTCTTCAACTGAAAATCCACTTCAGAGTAAAGTCACTTCAGACCAGTGAATCAAGTTTTTGCTGTAGTTTCAGCTTCACTTACACTGAAACATAGACATGTTATATAGACTGCTTTGTCACACCCTTTTTGCATCACGGAAAGAATTTCTCCTCCTCACTTCTACAAATCAGACTAAAAATACATTAAAAAGCTTTGCATGCTTGATTTCATAAACAGAAGATATAAAAATAACCTAAAATTTAATTTTTGCTTTAATTAAAGGTGAGAATTGTTCTCAACAGCTTTATTTACTATTCACAATTAGGGTACAAGGTAGGATTCGGTTCTGGATCCTTTCTCAAAATGTAAAAAAAGCTTCTGAAATATATACAGGATGTCCAAATAGTCTCTTTACAATTTCAAAAATGTATTACAAAGGCAATAGATGAGATATCTTCATCAGATTTGCTCTATGTACTCAGTGGTTATCAAAGTCTTTAATCACATCGCAAACAAAGGTACGGGACATCACTAATCTAAAGCAGAGGATCACTGATGCCATTGCCACCACTGATGAGGGTATGCTACAGCGAACATGGCAAGAAATGGAGCACCGTCTTGATGTGCTTCATGCGACTAATGGTGCCCATATAGAGGTGTATTAAATGAGCCAAAAAACGTACATATATACGTCTCGTTTTGTAATAATTTCCACATAGCCTATCTATCTTTTCATTTGACTTTGTAATACATTTTTGAAATTGTAAAGAGACTTTATGTTCACCCTGTATATTGTACATTATGAGAATCATTAAAATCAGGTTTTATTTGGTGTGGAGTTTCCCTTCCCATGAACTAAGGCGAGCACTTAAATACACTGATAACAAAGAATAACAAAAGGCAACAACCATTCAACAAGGGAGCAACAAGACACAGGAGAAGCAACTAATACTAATGAACACAGAACTAAGGAACCAAAGACCTGAAACTAAGGAAACAGGGAAATACTACACTAGGATATAAACAAGAAAATATAGTACAACAAAACCAGAACAGAACACAAGGAGGGCAAACCTGGAACAAGAAACTCAAAAGGAAACAAAATACTGTGGAACAGAAACTCAAATACGAAGAAAGAGATAAGGCTGATCATTAGCTAACCTTGAACCCATAAACAGGGAAAATGCCATCATGAAGCAAACACTCAACCTGTAGAGCCATGTGACAAGCTGGGAAACTGGCAGAGCGGACTGGGGCCGAAGGACAAGAGACAGGGTGGAGAACAGGACAAGAAGGGCAGGGTTGGATGGGTGCTGACCCTGATATTGCTCCCTGCACACTCTCTGTGGGCTGTGGCTCAGTGTCTGATACACAAGGAACTAACATCAGAATAAGAGATACGCTACCAGTCAAAAAATTTTGTACACCACAGGTTTTTACCACTTTTTATTTATTTCATAAACCTCTGATGTTTTACTTTTATTGCGTGTTTGAAAGTTAAGAGAACAAGTATAAATGAAAACATAAGTAAAATACAAGTTTTCTTTATAACATAGAAATAGTATGTAACAATACTATTTAATTGTTTCATCCCATAAAAAGTAGTGTTTTCTGTCCCTTGTAGAAAGAATGCCTTGAATTTTCTCTGCTGTTTAACTGCTAGAGGTTACTTGATTAATCAAAGATATGACATTTTCTTTTTAATAAAGGTACTGAAGTTGTAAATTTATCTAACAAAAAATATTGCTTATATTTTTTAGTAAATGAGCGTCATATCAAGGCAGGGAAGGAGGCGAGGGCAGGCATAGGGAAGAACAAAAAGTGAATTTTTTTTTTTTTATTTCCATATCCCTTTATAAACACTGCTATTTATACATTTTTACAGACACCTTCTGCTTGTGAGATAATTACTAAATGTTATTTGTTCACTCAGCATCACTAAAGTGCCTTTTCATTGGTTAAGGAGAAATGTTAGATGTTAGATGATGTTCACGGACGAGGATTTTCTTCATGACAAAATGCTAATCAATCAGGGGGAAAAAATCACATTTTACTGCCATGTTGCACTTGATAACTGTGCACTTTACATACACAGCACCCTCCAAAATTATTGGCACCCCTTGTAAAGATTTGTAAAAAGGGTTAGAAAAAATCCACCTTTTGGCGAAGCAGCTTCATGTAACACTGAAAAACTTGGAAAAATCCAACCTTTCATTGAAATAGATTTTCCTTCATCAAGAAATAACTATTTTTAAGATTTCAGATTTGCCATGATTATTGGCACCCCTGCTTTTAATAATTTGTACAGCAGAGTCTTCTCCTATAACATTTTATGAGGTTGGAGAAGGGGTGCCAATAATTGTGGAGGGTGCTGCATTGTTTAATGAAGACATTCTTTATTAAAACCATTTTTAGGTGCAATTAAATCATGCAACAGATGAAAAAATACTTACTCGTCACCAATTTGAGAGTACTAAAGTAAATAAAAGAATCAAACTTGCAATAAAAATTCAAGAATGATGGTTAAATTATGCAAAATAAAATGCAAAAATGCAAGATACAAATCAATTGATGGCCTTTAGTGACAGACACCACACCCAGTGTGCAGTGTTGCACATTGAGAAAAATACTGCTGTCTCACTGAAGACAGGAAATACACGCCCAATGTATTTAAAGGGTCCTGTTCAGCCTCTCATGCAAAGTGGAATTAGGTACAATGCCATCAATGCAATTGTGCAACAATTAATGCATACAGCAAAGCACTATGTTTTACCTGCACAAACCTGTACTTATGCAAAACAATTAACTCATGTCTCAAAAGCAAATTATTCCACCAATGAATTAGTCAGTGCCCCCAAATTGAAAAGTACAATAAGCACCATTTTAACCATGAGAGCCAAAATGCTTAGACATATTGTTAGTATGTCAGTGTAAGTATGCTCCTGAGTTCCACAATTCTGAATGAGTCATTTCCCACTTTCTCATTGTCAGTGACCGATGAATGACAAAGAATTCATGTTAAAGGCACCAGTTTCGACATTGCAAGGTTCAGCATTGCAGTTCACTGGCAAAAGAAAGCACTCACATGCACAAGTAACTTCTTTAGATATCAAAACACAGTACAATAGCAAACCAACATGTCACATAGGAAAAAACAATAAAATGGCAATACAGGAACAACAAAATTACAACAAAATGACATACTACACAAACCAAAAATACAACAATGTTAATTGTCAGTGGGGCAGGTGTCCGATGGACCCAGGATGCCCTGCATCATGCTGCCGCAGACACTACCCACATGTTGGAGCAGTTACACATTGACCGTGACCCAAGCTGAGTCCAATCGACGGTCCAAGAGGCTCCTGGGCACCCTGCTGGGAGCTGCAGCAGCTGGAATGACTGTGGACCTTCTTCCAATAGATATGCATGTTTTGTGTAGTAATCAGAGCATCGCACACCTGCAGGAGGTCTTATTGTTTGACTGGCTTGTTTCCTGATGTCTTGAAGCCATTCTGCTTCCAGTGAAGGAGATGGCACCTGAAGCTAAGACGTGTGTAGTCTGTGCAGATCAACAGGTCCTGTACTCAACATTTGGAGGCCACCTCCTAGGCCAGTGTTTCTCAACCCAGTCCTCAGCGAACCCCAGCCAGTCCACGTTTTTGCTCCCTCCCAGCTCCCAGCCAATCAGGAACACCGAATAGCTGGTACAGGTGCGCTGGGAGCTGAGAGGAAGCAAAAACGTGGACTGGCTGGGGTTCGCTGAGGACTGGGTTGAGAAACACTGTCCTAGGCGGTTAAGATTGCTGCCAGCTCTGCGTACTGCGACGTGTGAGGACTGAGCTTGAGCTGTTGTGGTGGGACAGGGTTGTCGCTGAGCCACAGAATGCCTGCTGCAGCTTTCAGGGTCCCCTTATGTTTGAATGCGCACCCATCTACATAAACAGTGATAATGTCTTGACAGACGTTTTCATCAAAGTAGTGGTGTTGCGAGGGTTCCATGGGTGTTGGTTCGTCCAAAATTCTGGGTGCTGCTGGTCCCTCCTGAGAATAGTTTTGGCAGCTGGGTGACTGTACTGCATCGGGCTGGGCGGTTATGGCATGGATTGTCAGGTGTTGGTTGGCAGCAAGCTCGACGTGACATACAGTCCCTTTTGTCACTGGTGACTTTTCCACCCCCATGGTCATTACCACATCTGTGACTTCCATGCCTTGGAGCCAAATGCCTTTCCTGATCTTGAGGCAGAAGGATCCCTGGGTAGGGTCTAGCCTACACAGGAAGGAGTGTAGGGTCTCTCGTGTCAAGACAGTGTTCTACAGCTTGGTACTCTTCATGGTGTGGGGTGTGGTCCGAGGAGCCTGGGTTTGACATTCTCATGTGGCTGCGTTAGGTGTCCACTAGGGATGGCACGGTTCATGAAAAAAAACCGAACCGTTCGGTTCGCTTGTCTCGGTTCGGAGCATGCATGCGTCGCACGGTTCGACGGTTCATGACATGCGCAATGTAGCCTCGTGCCCCGTATGTGACGTCAGTGTGTTTCCCTTTCGCGCGAAAG